CCTGTATCCCGGCATCCGATCGAGCCCACGGACTCGAGCACAAGCTGCGATCGAGGAGAGCTCTAAGGATGCCAAGATGCAAAAGCCCAGCAGACTCGAAACAACTCCTGAACGCGCAGCTTCCTACGATGAGTTCATCAATCTGACACCCACTCCCCGACGTGGCCAAGCACTTCATCTTGAGGGCTTGAACGACCCACCTTCATCGCCACCAGACCCGAGACGCAACCCTCTGCTATCTGAAATACAAACCCGATCAAAGGCTAGAGACTCGATCGTAAACTGGCAGTTTTCTTCACCACCTGGCTCACCCTCCATCAGTCAACAAACTAATGAAGACCAAGCTGAGGTGGAGACTCCTTCTGCTAAGAACAAGACCTCTGGTAAGAACACACGATCTAAGCGACGCAGGAGGAGGGCAGAATCATCAAAGAAGGAGGAAGTCATTCCTTCAAGTCTCGGTAGTCAGGAAGTGGTGGCCGAAGACGCCGAGGCACTACCAGATGCGCCACCTAGCCAAGATGTGGACGAGATTAAAGAGGAACATATTGAACCGCCTGCCCTCACCCAACTGGACAGCCCTAAACGAACCGCTCCGCCTCCAGCACAGGTTCTGGAAACACCAAAATCCGCAGATGACGAATTTGTGGATGCCAGGAGCAGCCCTGCAAAGGCTGTTGACGATCAGGCTGTTGAAAGTGGCTCTAAGGTGGCTAACAGCCAGAATCAAGACTCATCTTTCGCGCTCAGTGAAGGTGATGAAAGCAGTCTCATGAGATTTGTGGTGGAACTTGAATCTAGAAGATGCCATCTTCCATTCGACAAGTACAACTCAGTTTCTGTTTCTCCCGAGAAGAAAAAGAACGACGCATCACCGGAAAAGTGCATAGAGGTCCAAGGAGACACCTCCGTGGAAGCAGAACAGAATGACACTAAGGAGTCTTCGCCATCTAGTGTTGTTCCCTCTACACCTGTTGAATCAAGCCAAGAGAAGATTGAAAGCCAAAATACGAACCAAAATGACAGCAAGAGGAAGAGAAAGCGGAGCGCTGTGTATGCCGAGACACGCCGCAAAAAGAGACGGTCGGCCGACCCATCAGGACCAGAACAGGTCGAAGATAGCCAGTCGACGTCTCAAGAAACGGCATCACCCATCCCAACCGTGCGACGGTCATCCAGACGAAATGCTGGACAAAAGGGCAAGGTGCTACGAAACCGAGAAGTCCAGGCATCGCCTACCAAAAGGTCTACACGCTCATCTTCTCAAGCGCCTCAGACAACGTCAAAATTGACCGATCCACGCGATGACGGGGACACGGACGAAGAACTCATGTCACAACTGGTGACAGAGTCCTTTGCAGCCTCGCAGAGCCAAGAGCCTGAGTTTCAGGTGCCTGATGAAGTCATTGAGGACTCTATGAAAGTCATGCCAATTGACAACGAATCGGGTGAAGAGGTCCAGGAGGATCAGCTACAAGCAGAAGAGGAGGGCCAAAACGAAGTTGCCGAGCCAAAAGAAGATGACGATGAAGAAGAGGAAGAAACACCAGTACCACACAAGACAAGGTCGATCATGGACACTCTTCGTGGTGGATTGCAGCAATTGCAGGCGGCAGCACTGAGCCGTGATGAGGTTTACCAGCTAGAAGACATGCTTATGGATATGAAGAGGGAACTCTTCGAAGCAGAGCGACGTGGAAGGCATTGATTAGGAAATGAATTTAAGACGGGAAGCATTGTCAACGGCGCGCTGGGGTTTTTATTCTTGGGAACTGCTTATAATACAATACCTCCATGTACAGAGTTGCCTGATTAGCCTGTCGCTTATCTCACTAGAAGCATTGCATGGATATCTGTACATTTACATATTCTGTAGAAAAGAAACAATCAAGGAAATGATGAGATGAATATGCCATGCCAATGTGTCGAGAGAAACAGCGTACTTACAATTATGGTTGAGGGATAATCGAGTTGATGCATGCGAGATCTTGCCACCAAAAGTGGTAATCAGTCCGAGTTACGAGTCAGGCTCACACGTCCCGTGTATATGCATTCACCATTCTGCATGAGGATAATATGGGGAAGCATAATGTGATAATGTGGAGGATCGTCAATGTAATAATATTTGGGAGCAGCTTCGGATGTTCCTAAACGGGTAATCCGACAAAGAGAGCTGCAGTGTGCCATGGGGAAGAGGGTCGTTTATCGATTATGGTTTTTGATCTTGGTGTAACACAAAGACTTCATAATTGATACTGTGTGAATTTGAGGTTCTAGAAAGGGTAGATCGTAGAGATACGCGGTTCTCGGGAATCAGCTTGTATGATTGTGCTTCAATACAGTGAAATTCTGTGCCGTTTCTACGAGCAGCTGAGTAATATGGACTCGGTACATCTTGAGATTTGGCCGTTCTGCTGCTGCCTGGCATGCCAACTTTGATGATGAACCAGGGTCAAGGATTCTGCAAGCTGCTCCCCATTCTGTTCTTCACAGCAAGGGAAAATTGCCGGCTCGATCCCTACGTCAGGCAGACTCCCATGGCAGGGAACTAACACGGTAATGATGTGCACGGCTGTGTTGTTGGTGATTTTGCAGGGTTGATACCATTGAAGTCTCTCACTGAATCCTTTGATTCAAGTTCCTCGCCTGAGAAGATCGTGGTATGAGATACAGGGACCTTAAAGGTAAAGAAAGGTTTGAGAAATCGTAGATGCCATGAGGTTGAAAATGAAGATTTTATTGGTAGCATTTACGCAAAGTGGATTGGCGTGGTTTGGTGTAAGTGGTGATGCCTTTACAACACTATCACAAGGCAGTTCAATATGTACTCTTATAAAGACCGTGGCATAGGATTGGGCCTCTAACGGTAAGATAATACTCTACGCTAGCTCGTGTGCTTGGACTTCTGTTTCCCTCGTTGTCTTGAATTCAACTTGGATGAAGGTTGAAGAAGGTTGCTCAAAAGAGTCAAGTGGCTCACAAAAATGTCCGACAAAGCAGCCAATGAACAACATGGGACAACATATCTTAGAATTAGATTGCACTGTAAGAAGGAAACCGAGAACTTAGTCCATTTCAGTTCGGAGGATATGATGAACCGGTTTCCTTCCGAAGAACCCTCATTGACTGGTGTATGGATAGGGTCTGGCATCCGGCAGTTGCACCGATCAATGCTGAAGCATCCGTTTGAACCTGACCAGTTTGGGAATTTCATGACGATGCCCCTGCTGAGGCTGAATGCTCTTAACCATTGTAGGCAATCCGAGAACTACAGACACTTGCTTAGATAGAGAGAATGTATCTCATCTCATCTAAGCAGCCATCACGATTGCGTTGACTTTGTTCGGCCCGCCGAGTAGAGAATGACGTCAACTTCTAACAATCCGGGGTCCTGGGGTTCAGCAATTCCGCGTTCTATAGCTGTTGTCATCCATAAAGGGGAATTGAAAGCGGACGGTCGGGCAGAGACGGTCAGCGAGGCCTTTACTTTGCATTTGTCTATCAGAACTGATTGGGCAGTTGATATCTACAGCGGGTTCATGATGGAGTCAGTGGACTGCAGGTTGAACCTTGGCGTGTACGTTACGTGACAGGGACTGAAGTGCGGTAAATGGCACGTTTCTGACCCTCGGTTCCGTTATTGACGGCCAATTCTTGACATTGTACTGTTTTGCACTGTGTAGTCGCATTCTCGTTGACCAACAGAGATGGTCGTTGTGTAAACTCCATATAGTGATTCTTTTCAGTTAATGTTGTTTTTGTAGAATGAGGATCACTAGGTAAACAATGGGAAAGCTGAATAAAGCTGAGCCTCATTACTGGGCGATACTAGCATATACCAAGACATTGGCAAAATGGAAGAATGCTCTTTTGACGGTTCCTTACTTGCTCGCAATCCAACATCACGTGGAGAAACCGCATCCTCCCGTCTCCTCCAGATTTTATCTCGATTCTCCATTTAGGGACCCAGAATTTCAAACTTCATCCGAGGTGACGAGAAAATCTGCGAAATCCTCTGACTTGTTGAAGTACCCACTCTCGTTTAATATCGGTCGAGATTCCTTGAGGGCCCAATCACGATTCAAAGATCCATCACAAACCAACTATCATGGCTCAGGCCAACGTTTGAAGGTCGGTTTAGAGGAAACATTGCAAACAGGCTCATGCCCCAGGAACCTTTAAAACATAAGCTATGGCCAATACATCGGAAAGTGCGACAATAACGAGACCATCAGAGGCTTTCAAAACACTGACGCCTTGTGTGCCCCGATTTTCATATCCCCGAAGACCGTGTTGAGGGACCTGCGATGACGTCGTATTCCCCACGCTCCAGCCTCCCAAAAGTTCCCCATGTTTACTTCCCCAACTCGTCCGATTTCTGCGGAGGCGAGAGGTAAACTTTAGGGCCTTCTCCACGAGTTTATGCTTCCAGGGTGACATTATAGAGGAGGATATAGTATTGACTCTCTAAACATCAGCCAGTCAAGGGACGAAGCAATTAACCATACCTGGAGAGACCCAGACAGGTACCTTCAGGGCTGAACTGTCACTTACTCGTTCGCAAAACACCCTGAAAACTTTACAATGCCGTAATGCAGTGATCATTGCCCTGCTGGGCATGGGTGCACACGGCTGCGGATCTCGGTATACTTTACTGTATGCACAGTATGGTCATAGTCTCTATCACTTTTGGCCGATGGACCCGTCATAAACGGCCAAGGTCAAGACAATAATGTATGGGTAGCCAAGGTCCGTCTCAGTCAACAGCTTCTCGCATGGCCTGGGGGTGGATACCCAGAGGCCGTGGATCCAGTGTCGAGTAATACTTTACATGACTCTGTTTTCTGCAGTACGACATTCAAGATCCTCGAGCTTGCGTTTCTTTATAAGCCCGATTATCCCCCGGCCTCAATCGTTCTCACGTTCTCTGTACCAACCTTCGTTGCCGTCCCAGTGACCTTGAGTTTGAAGAGACATTATTCGATTTCGAACTCTTCATCATGTTCAAGAAGTACTTTGGCCTCCGAGGCCAGGCCCTCAACTATGCTATCAGTACCATTGCTGGAACCGATTTCCTGCTCTTTGGCTATGGTAATACCTACCACTTTCACACAAACGGCTCCAAGACAGGCCATGGTAGCAGATATTAACATTTGATATAGACCAAGGTGTCATGGGTGGTATCTTGACAATGGCACCTTTCATGGAGCAATTCCCAGACATGCACAGCGATGATCCCACCGTATCTGCCGCTGTTCGAAAGAACCGCTCCAACTATCAAGGCATCGCTGTTTCGTCTTACAACCTGGGCTGCTTCTTCGGTGCCATTGCTACCATCTTTCTTGGAAACAAGCTCGGCCGCAGGAAAATGATTATGCTCGGTACCACAATCATGGTTGTTGGTGCTGCTCTTCAGGCTTCTGCGTTCACTCTGGAACACTTCATCATCGGACGAATCATCACTGGTCTTGGTAACGGCGGCAACACATCTACTGTTCCTATGTGGCAATCAGAAACCTGCTCCGCCCATAAACGTGGTAAATTAGTAATGATCGAGGGAGCGCTCATCACACTCGGCATTACCATCTCGTACTGGGTCGACTACGGCATGTACTTTGCGCAAGACACATCTGCCTGCTGGCGCTTCCCAATGGCGTTCCAGATTGTCTTCTGTCTAGTCATCATGGCCTTTGTTATGAACCTCCCAGAATCTCCCCGCTGGCTTGTGCTCAAGGGACGTGATGAAGATGCAAAGGAAGTTATTGCTGCCATTGCCAACCAGGATGTTCAGAGCAAGTATGTGGACAACGAGTTCAAGGCCATCAAGGAGACAGCTGCAGAGATGAGTAAGGGCTCATTCTCAGACTTGTTCTCTCGAAATCACAACAAGAACCTTCACCGTACTCTCATCGCTTATATCAATCAAATGTTCCAACAGGTAAGCCATATATATGCACTCTTATGAATTGAATAGTGACTGACATCGGGGTAGATCTCTGGTATCAATTTGATTACTTATTATGCTGCTACCATCTATGCTGGACTTGGTATGACGGGCCATATGCCTCTACTCATGGCCGCTCTGAACGGTACCGAATATTTCTTGGCCTCACTCCCTGCAATCTGGCTGGTTGAGCGGGTTGGCCGTCGAAAGCTGATGCTCTTTGGCGCAGCAGGCCAGTGTGCATCCATGGCTATCCTTGCTGGAGTTGGCTCCAGCGATGCCAAGGCTTGCCAGATTGTTGGAATTGTCTTCTTATTTGTCTTCAACTCATTCTTCGCCGTTGGCTGGCTTGGCATGACTTGGCTGTACCCTGCTGAGATCACGCCTCTTCGCATCCGTGCGCCTGCCAACGCTCTGTCAACATCAAGTAACTGGATCTTCAACTGGCTGGTGGTCATGATCACTCCTCCTGCATTTGAGAACATTGGATCCAACACATATGTCATCTTTGCAGTCATCAACGCCATCATGGTTCCTTCGGTCTACTTTTTCTTCCCTGAGACTGCATATCGATCTCTGGAAGAAATGGATACTATCTTTCAGAAGGTGGGGCATGGTTTCCAAGGCGCACTCGATGTCGTCAAGCAGGCCAAGATCGAACCTCGACGATATGACAACAATGGCAACCTTCTCATTGCCATTGAGGAGGTTGAAGAGAAGGGACATGTTGAGCATCGAAGTGGAAGCTCAAGTGGACAGAGCGGCGAAGGTAACAACGCTGCCATGTTTGCTTCGCACGACGAAGAGAACCAGCGCCGGGAGAATTAAGAGGTGTTATCGATCAAGCGAACTGCGGATGCTGTGAGTGGTGGCTTTGGAAACTATACCGAGGCATGATATATACCCCTAGCTAGAGTGGTTGAGAGAAAGAGAAATTTAGTTGGTCAAGTGTCATGATGAAACATATAGCAGTGTATAGATACCCGATTAAGTAAGAGTCTTGGCAGGTGTACCAATTTTGTGTAACTTTGACTGCTTCAACGGTCTGTCCGTTGCATTGTGAAACTGTGTTTCCGAGACTGTTTTAGTACATGACGCTCACAACGAGGCAATGAGATTTGCGAGTGAGTTTTTCGTATAGGCAGCTATGGGAAGTCTAATTATGCCTAAATTCAAAAGTCAGACCTGCTTCCTCACCAACCAAATGCTAGATTCTGGCTCTTTGGTGATATATTTTTGTGGTTTGATGTATCACAAGCCGATATCTGAGACGTGTTTCAGCTTTGAGTGTGGCCGGTAACAGCTCTAACTTTAGCAGCAGATCTCCACTAAACAGCTTGATCTTGGGTCTTCATTGGCTGTCTTGAGCTACCCCGCCATTGCCTACATGGTATCGACCTCCTCTCAGACTTGAAGCATCCACGGCATGGGATCGCATCTTACAGATACAACTTTGCCTCAGCGAACCGACCTAAGCCCAAAGCTACAGGGGACAAGATCTTGACTGAGCACTACCTTTATAAGGCCCTTCAGCCTCGTGTTTTACTGCTCTAGAGTCCTGTCACTTTATTTGTCCTCTTGACTTGTTCTTTCTACCTTCACCCCCACTCGGACCCTTCAACCCCACCTGAGCAGTCCGCCACTACCCTACCTACCTCTACTTCTTTACCTAGTACCTCACTTCTACCAGCTCCATCTCCTCCAAAGCTCAACCTATTCTTTACCTCCCTTGATCCTACCAAAAACATTCACCATGGTCGACCGTCCAAACAAGCCCTCGGCGCTCGCCTCTACCCCCGCCGCTCCTCCTCAACCCACCGTCGACATCACCCATGATAACTCCCGTGTCAAGGCCGTTCTTCCCACCGGCGAGAGCGTAGAGGTTCTTCTCCATGGCGCTACTGTCATCAGCTGGAAGGATGCTTCAGGGGCTGAGAAGCTCTGGGTCAGCGAGTCTGCTGCCCTTGACGGAAGTGCTGCTGTTCGAGGAGGTATTCCCATCGTCTTCCCGGTACGACAACACCACAACACTCTCTCATGATAACTTGTCTAATCTGTGTACCTCCAGGTCTTTGGCACTGCCCCCGACCACGAACCCGTAGCCAAGCTTCCCCAGCACGGCTTTGCTCGTAATTCGCGATGGGAGTTCCTTGGAAAGTCTACCAGCGAGGGCTCTAGCTCCAGTGTGAAGCTCGACTTTGGTCTTTCGTCCGAGAGCATCAGTGAGGACTTCAAGGCTCTTTGGCCCTACAAGTTTGCTCTTATCTACAGTGTCTCCCTTGACCCTGAGAGTCTCAACACCACTATTGTTGTTACCAACGATGGTGACACTGCTTTCGACTTCCAGACTCTTCTTCACACTTACTTCAAGATCAGCGTATGTTATACATGCTTGTATATGGGATATCATAGCTAACTTATCTCAGGACATCTCTTCCACAGAGGTCACCGGTCTCGAGGACTCCGTCTACTTCTCCAAGGTCTCCAGTTCAGAGGCGACCCAATCCGGTGCCGTCACTTTCTCCGCCGAAACCGACTCCATCTACACCCCCGCCAAGGGTCCCTCTCACCCAGTCGTCATCTCCGAGTCTGGCACTCCCCGTTTCCGTATCGTCCGTGACAACCTCGACCAGGTTGTCGTCTGGAACCCCTGGGTGGACAAGTCAGCCGGCATCAAGGACTTTACTCCCAAGGACGGTTGGAAGAACATGCTCTGTGTTGAGCCCGGCTCTGTCAAGGGATGGCAGAAGCTGGAGAAAGGCGATGCTTTCGAGGCGGCGCAGACTATCACTCTGGTCTGACTTGGCAAGAGTGAGGGTGTGAGGAGATTCAAGATATGACAGTTTTCACGTAACGGCAGCACAATAATTTGAGATGGACATGATATGAATTAACTTGTGTTTTGAAGGACAAGCCCGTATGCTTAGATTAGAGATGAAAGAAGGCACCAAAACACATAATCACTGCCGTCAGTGCTGTGTTTATCACTCAATATTTCTCATGCCCATCCAAGTGTTTCAAAGCCTCATTTTTCGGTTCATTCCCAAGTTGCTACCATGATATTTGCTGCTCCGTTTTGTTCCAATGTACATTTTCTTCATGTCAAATTTTGAGTCTCTCATATGCTCAGGCTGATCGTGCCTTGTTCTCTCTAGAGAAATGATCCGCAACCAGGAAAGCCAACTCAAGGGCCTGCTTTTCGTTGAGTCTTGGGTCACAGAAACTAGTGTAGTTTGTCGACAAATCATCCTCATCCAATCCCTCACTGCCACCCAAACACTCTGTAACAGCATCGCCAGTGAGCTCGAGGTGCATACCACCGAGGTTGCTACCCTCCTCTTTGTGGATGCGTAGTGTCTCCTCAAGCTCACGGTAGATATCGCCGAAACGACGTGTCTTGATGCCTGTGGGAGTGGATAGTGTGTTGCCGTGCATAGGGTCGCATTGCCAGACAACCGTGCGACGGTACTCGGAGTCCTCAACCGCACGAATATGCATAGGGAGGAGATCGCGCACCTTGGCAGCACCGTAGCGAGTGATGAGGGTGATTTTTCCAGGCTCGCGAGAGGGGTTCAACGTGCGTAGGAGAGAAAGAAGGTCTGAAGCTGGCGTTGTAGGACCGACTTTAACACCAATCGGATTAGCAATTCCACGGAAGAACTCAACGTGGGCATGATCGATTTGGCGAGTACGGTCACCAATCCAGATGAAATGCGCAGAGGTATCATAGTACTCCTTCTTCTCACCGTCATCAGCTACGGGAGTAGGGCTTGAGGTTCTGGCAGTAGGCTTCTCAAGCAAACGAGTCAAAGACTGCTCGTAGTCGAGAAGAAGACCTTCATGGCTAGTGAAAAGCTCAACGGAGTCGAGCTCTCCGGGACGAGCATTAATGACCTGCAGGAAGCGAAGGGTCTGCTGAATACTTGAAGCAATAGCTGAGTACTTCTCCTTGAGCTCTGGGTCTCTCACGTGTCCAAGGCCCCAGTCGAGAGGTCGATGAAGATCAGCGATGCCAGAGGCGAGAGCAGCACGGATGTAGTTGAGGGTTGCAGCAGAGTGGTGGTAGGCCTTCACAAGGCGGTTGGGATCGATCTCTCGATCTTCGAGACGGAAGCCATTGATGATATCGCCCTTGAAACTAGGGACTTCCTTTCCATCGACCATCTCGGTAGGACTAGATCTCGGCTTCGCATACTGACCAGCCATTCGACCAATTCGCACAACTCTCTTGTTGGTTCCCCAAATGAGAACAACACTCATTTGCAGTAGCAGTTTGATCTTGCTCTCAATAGGGCCTTGACGACAGTAGTCAAAGAGCTCAGCGCAATCACCACCTTGCAGAAGGAAAGCGTTTCCTTGTGCGACATCGCGAAGATGAGCTTTGAGGGCGATGATCTCATTGGGGTGGACCAGAGGAGGAAGTTGGGTCAGTTCCTCGACAGCTTTGGCCAGAGGCTGTGCATCAGGGTAATTGGGCGACTGCTTGATGGGCTTTGAGCGCCAAGAGGAGGGTTCCCAGCCAGCAGATGAAGATGAAGCCATTTTGTGTGTGTAAGAGACGAGAGATTCGAAACTGGGCGGAGTCAACCGCACAAAAGAAAAGAATCAAGTGCCCGACTTGATCAGTATGTTGTAGTGTTTATATGAGATCTGATGAATATCTGTGGAGGAGTCGAGGTTTATTGTATCGAGAAGAGAGTGAGTGAGTGAGTGAGTCACAGAACAAAGACAAGACAGATGGTCAAGACGCACCCTGGACTGCACCTGCACTGGGAACCAAAAAAAGTGAAGTTTAATTGAGTTAACAAAGAAATGTGGCGTTGCCGATGGTAGCCACTCACTTTAACTTTCGGCTTAAAAGCGGCGCATGTGGCGTAGACAATATGAACACCAACACACAAGCATTTCTATTGTTTGAAGATTTACGGGGTATATGTGATGATTTGATGCTGTACTGCATTGAATGTAGAAGAGCATGTACCACAAATGTGAGAACACGGCTATGCTTGTTGGCCTGAACTGCTAGTTCCTTGTAGCTGAGGAAGCAAAATGGGCTATGAAATCTGTCATGCAAACCACCTTACCTCCAACGATGATGAGATATAAAACATACAAGATTCCAATATTTCTATCTCCAGGCCTCTACAGTGAAATGTATCAAGGGCCATATCATGTTCTATTCCGCACTCTAACAAGCTTCAGAGGTCCCCACGGCCAAGCTAGGTAGAACTAAACTGCCCCTCCAACCCCACCACAGCTTCACCTTCGTAGCTCTCTCTCCACTACCGACCACTGAACTTCACCTACTCTACACCCTCACCTCCACTTCACTTCTACACGTCACAACAATCATGACCGACGAAACACCCTCTCAGACCGCCAAGTCCGCCGAGGACCGCAAAGCAGCCTCCGCTCTCGAGAACCTCGACGCCGCAGACTCACCCTCGACACCACAAAACGTCGACGCTGACGCTGCCAGCAAAGCCATAAAGAGCCTCGGCGGCGCAAACAAGGCTTCTGCTGCTGCCGCTTCCCATAAGAACGTCAAGGTCGACGCTGCTGATGTCGCACTCCTCGTCGATGAGCTTGAGCTGCCAAAGGCAAAGGCGACCGAGTTGCTGAAGAGTAATGAGGGTGATGCTGTTAAGGCCATGAGGGCGTTTATCAAGGCATGAGGGAATGCAAGATGGCTTCAAGGTTTGAATAGTCAGCTCGGAGAGGGGAATTGAAAAGAGGTGACGAGGTATGATTTACCACGCACATTCCAAATCTACAAAGTGTCTCACAATTCCAACAGTCACCTTCAATCGAGCCCGAAATATAATGTC